GTGGGCTGTGGGCTAATTTGGGCTTTAAAAAACATTTTTTTTTTGTTTTAATAACTTGGGCTTGGGCAAGGGTTGTCAAAAACTTAAAACAAAAAAATTTTTATTTGTTAATCTGTTTAGAAAAAATCAAAATAAATTGATTTATCAAAAAAAAAAAAAATTTTCGGTTCTTATTCGGTTCTTCGGTTCTTGGTCTAGAACCGAGAACCGAACCAAACCCATCGGTTCTTGATTCAAATACCCGTTCGGGTTTTAAATTTAGGAAAACCCGTTCGGTTCGGTTCGGTTCGGTTCGGACATTTTGCCTAGCCCTACTAGTGGCATCGTGGTATCTTTAATTCTTTAGGGGCCAATAACTCTTTGTCAACTCCATCATCAAAGTTGACTTGACCTAGTCTCCAAAGTTAATTAATTGCATATTGGTATCTCTAATTCATTATGTTATGTTGAAACCCGTAAGCGTATGGAATCGTTGACAAGTAATAGAAATCAGTGATTTGCAAGTTTATCGTTCCCATGAGGAATAATGTCTAATACATAGTTCGGTAGTTTTTATTAAATTCGAAATCTTGTAATATCAAAAGAGATGGTTTGTATGTGTTTTTATACTAATCCTAAACTAAGAAAGCAAATAGAGTATTTATAATATGTGAATGTTTGTATTGAAATCTTGAATTCCCTTATTGTCATTTAATTCAATTCTTAATTCGTAATCTAGTAAATTCATACGTTCAAAACAATCGATAATTCAATCTTATTAAATATTCTTTTCCAAAATATATTGAACCTATGTTTAATACGACACGATCCTATTTCTAATCTAAATTCATATAAAAAAATATGTATTGATTCACAGGGTTTATCACACATGATTGCACATGTCATAAATATTATTCCTAATACTTATTGTCAATGTGCTAATTTTGTCGTTTACTAGACTTATTGTGAGTATTTATGCGCTACAACAAGCAACTTACAATCTAATTGATGATTAAAAAAAACAAATAGTTCAATAGGAATGCAAAATCAAGAAATATTAAATTAATTGTATTGAATTAATATAAATAAACAAAATGATTTATCATTCATCAAATACAAAGAAAGAACTAGCCTATCATCCTATTTATTAAGTTATACAAGATAACATGGAAAAAAATCACCCAAATCAAGAAAGGTTCTTGAATGAAATCTGATTTTGATTAAATAATTTTAGAGAATCTTGAGTAATTCACCATGATCAAGCGTCGTTTTTTGCCTCCAAAAAATGTAGAATATAAAGATTTTTGGGCCTAAGAAGGTTTCTCCACGTTCTGAACGGATTATGATAATTAAAGGATGCTCAAAAGATTGTTTTCAAAGTAGAGTTTCAATTGGAAAAGGAAACAAAATCTCGCTTCGAAAAAGTACTATGTGGCCGCATAGTACATATGGAAGCGGCCTCATAGAATAAATCATAGCTGGATTCGGGAGCCCTGGAGGCATAGATATGGTTGCATCTATTTAAACCTATGCGGCTACATAGGTATAATTTTTTTGTGCCATACATCTTTCAATATTTTTGTTATATATTTCTCTCCCGATATTCGATTGAGGTGATTCAAAATGAGTTGAAAAGATAACTCAAAGGATTACAATTCTTACATAATAGAAATTTTCTAACTCGAACGTTTGTTATCCGAAAAAATGGGTCTCAAGTTGAAACTAAAAATTCGGAGCATAACTTTTTTGGTTGGAGCTTAATGTGTGATAATACTTTGAATATATTTCATCCCCATGACAACTTTCTTCATCCGATTGACTTCTAGCATTCTCGAATCTTTAGTGTGAGGTCTAACACTAGTTTTGAGTATTTACACTTGAGTCTTCGAACTTTGAATTTGCTTCATTTCAGTCCTTTCTCTTGCAATCTTGTTCATTTATCTTCCAATTGTATCCAATTAAGTCCTTGATATCTTCGATCTTCATTTTGTCCTCCGTCTCATATATGGATTGTTCGCAATTTAGTCCCCGACTTTTGGATTTCGCCATTTTCATTATTTTTACATTTTTTTTCTCCAATTCTTCATCAAATATCAAGTTTTACCTAAAAAATACAATATAATACAAGTTAAGTAGAATTTTATCCAAATAACTGTAAAATATCATCATTTAGGATCTCGAATAAGTGTAGAAACTACATTTATCACATCATAAGACAATAACTTTTCGTTAACGTCTCGCCATCAATAAAGCATGTTGCCTTTTTCTTGATCACATCTCACTGAATACGACGAAAAGGGTTGTTTCGTCGAGTAGAAAAATGAGTGACAAAATAGTATCTTATGCACAAAGTTGTAAAATCCATTAAGATCTATTGGGAAAAAAGGACGGATGCCAAGAGTGTTAGATATTTATACAATAAATATAATATGTGAAAGAAATAATTAATTCAGATGAAGTGCACAATTGGTGAAAAGTGTGGAATTTGTGTGGGAGGTCTGGGGTTCGAGTCATACCTCACACATTATATTAAAAATATTTGATTGGGGCATTATATTAAATTATTATTTTTAATCATTTTCGAAATTATTTAATGGGTCAATTAACCAGTAAAATATGACAGTTTTTAACTGTCTAGTATTAACAACTCATTACCACTAGCCATAAAAATTGCAAATAATATTGGATCATAGTGGAGACAGTTACATCATTTTTCTGCATATATAAACGCACATCTAGGCATTAGAAACATATAACAAAAATGAAATTGTATCTTCCTATTCAGAAAATATATAATACTCTATTTTACAGATTTTCTGGAGTACACTTGAGAGTTCTGAAAATCATTTGTGATTCCTGCACAATTGGTTTATTTGATCGTTGTATCATAGAGGTAATTGTCCACAGAGATCGCAACAATTATCGACGGGCAATTTCGCTTTAGAATATCGTACTGTTACGAGACTTGATCAGTCGATAAATTTTTATTTCTACAATTTACTGTATTTCAACTAGTAATATTTCTAGGAAAGAGTTCATAGCAAGCGATGGGGAGAATACATTAGAACGTGCAAGCTATGCTTGCCATAGGAATTTACATGTGAAGGTCGCGGAGTATGTGATTTATAGAGAATGTTACAAGATTCATTTCAAGAATTATTATGATGGATGCACACAGTTCATGCCCGACAGAGAAGAGGGGACGAATGATACGCATAACTGCACAGGTTGTGACTGCCACAGGTCGTACCACTGACATAAGGAGAAGAAAGAAATATCGATTTTTTCTGATAATGTTTAGCTCTAATACACAAGGTAGTTCTCCTTCGGGAATTTACATTCAAGTTCATGGTAATCTTATGCCAAAATACGAATGTCTTGTCTTTATCTGATCAAGAACTTAGCCCCTGTTTGGTATGGATAGAAATTAGATTTTTAGTAGATTTTGATAAAAGTCGGTAAAAAGTGCGGTGAAAAAGTTGATATAAGTTGTGGATCCAATAAAATGTGTGTTTGGAAATGAGTTTTGAGAAAAAAGAATTTTTAGTGGGTTGTGTGAACGTTCATTCCGATTTTTTAATGTATAAGTTATGTTCTGTTAATTTTGTTACTTATGCAAATTCCAATAATCTTGAAACCATCCTTCGTATGTTCAAGGATAAAGTTGCTCTGCTAGAAGGATTTGACAGAAAACTCATATGACAGTAGATGATTGGATGGAAAGGCCGACTGTGTTTTAAACTGTCCAATGACAAAATGCCACATGGCATTGTGTCAACCTTGATGTTCATGTAGCGTGATTGATTTTACGAAATCAAATTGAGGCTTATAGCTTGATCCACCAACCAACCTTCGGAAAAAAAGTAACAATAGATGAATGCTACAGCACCATCTCTAATATTGAATGACGCTATAGTTTGTCAAGCATCGTCATCTACCTTTAAGTTGCTTTTGAATTTTTTAGCTGGTTTTTAGCATCATCTTCGCTCTAAAATTTGAGTCCATATTTGATGTAACCGTTCCTCCTTGTTGAGGTAATATATAGCTCACGTTGATACCGGGTGGTGTTGTCAAGGTCATTTGCATCAGTCAGTC